ATGTAAAAAAAAAAGTCAAAAGGGCTTAGATAGACCTCATGTGTGTTTTTGCCATTCTGTAGCTTTGGGGTCAGATGTATGGAGTCTGGAATGTCCTCCTGCGAGACCAGCATGAGATGAGCAGCTGTTCAGTAGGTGTGCAGCGTCCACCCCCACCCGTAGCCACACAGGGCTGTTCTGAGTCCCCAGGTCTAGTCATTTCCAGCACCTCATCACCCCACATTTCCAATGGTTGAGCTTGCACAATATTTAGCCTAGCAGCCTGTGGCCAGGCAGTCTTCCATTAGGCTGAATGAGGAGAAGGAGTTTCTCAGGCCTTGTCTACACTACAGAGTTTTGTTGACAAAAATTAAGCCCTTTAATTAAAGTGCTTCCATTAAATCACTGTTGCACGTCCTCATTATGGTCCTCATGTCGGCGGAGCCCATCCACACTAGCAGCTCTTGCATTGATGCAAGAGCTGTGCAGTGTGGGTAGCTATGCCACTGCAACTAGCTGTAGGGTTTTGGGAAAGGTACAGTCACATGATGCAGGTTTCTCAATCCCATCATTCCATGGGCAGCCTACTAGATTGCCAGCTGCTTTTCAGCTGAAGTGTATGTGAGGCAGGAGGGGGAGAGTTTGTGACAGGGACCGTGTGTGTGTGTGTGAGAGAGAGAGAGAGAGACAGAAACAGAGTGTGTGTTGTGGGAGAGTGTGAGATATTGTGTGGGTGGGTGGGGCGGGGGGAATGTGTGTTTGGGGAGAGTGTGTTGGCATGCTGTCGCTCTAAGTTCAGACAGCAGCCTGAGGCAGTGCTGGGTGCTGGGTTTACAATGGCTCCAGTGGCTCCATGGAGCCGGGCCCATGCTCAGAGGGGGTCCCGGCCTGCTCCACTTGCACTGCGCCCTGAGACCCTGCTGGCTCCCCCTGCTCACCACTTGCTCCTCTCGGCCTGCCCGCTGGCTGGCTGAGGGCTCCTCTCCGTCCCCACCCCCACCCACCTGCTTTTCCCTGCCCCCTGGCCAGACCCCAGTGCACCTCCAGCTCTGGGAAGTCTCTGTTTCCCACCACCTGTGGGGTCCCGCCTGTCTCCCCGGAGCTGAGCCACCTGGGATTGCTGCAGAAGCCTGGCCATTGTCAGGTCTCAGTCGGTGGTGGGGGGAGGATGGGGCTTGGCTGGGCCTCTTTAGGCAAGTGGGTCCTTAGGGACCCCGGTCGGGGCAGGCCCTGGCCTGTCTGATCGCGCCACTCCCAAGAGGCTGGAGCGATTCCCTGTCCTGGGACCAGCCCTGGCTGCGCTGCCAGCTCAGCCTGGCAGACAGTCGCCTCCCAGCAGGGCTGGTGAGTGTGGCTGGGAGGCAGTGCGTGGGGGAGAGGGTCTCTTAGGGGTTTGGGGCGGTGCTGGGCTGTGAGGAGGCAAGGAAGATGTGTGTGTTGGGGCAGTAGGGAGTGGGGGTTCTGTGGGGGTGCCGGGCAGTTTGGTGGGGCTGTGGGCGGGGAGACACTGGGCTGTGCATTTGTGGGTGGGTCAGGGGGACACTGGCCATAGGGAGTCAGGGGGTGTTGGGCAGGGCAGCTGTGTGGTGCAATATGGGCCCGCCCCCCAAGGGGAAGGGGTATGCTGGCAGCACAGGGCCAGGTGGGCCACTGCCGGTTTGTAAATAGTGCCCTTGCACTGGGCTGAGCAGAGTGGGGCCTCCCCTCCTATGCCATGCCCCATTGCCTCTGGCTCGCCCCTCGCTCTGGGGACTGACCTCCCCGCGCCATGCTCCATTGCCTCCATGGGGGCCCACAAATATGTTTGGCAACAGGTCCAAAAAGGTTAATCCGTCCCTGGCAACCAATCCTGCAGGTGGGGGACACCCCCGCCCCACATCAGCCCCTGGCTCTGCACAGCACAGCAATCTTCCTCCCCTCCCGCCCCTGCAGAAGCAGCTTGCTCTGCCTGCCTGCCAATTCCACATTAATGGTTCTGTGATTCCCTCTCGAGTTCTCCCACAGCCTCCTCAGCTGCAGGGAGCGGCATCTTCAGCAGCTCCGTGAGCTCTCCACACTGAGGAATGTCAAAGCTTGCACATGCCTGCAGGGCAGCTGAGTTCAAAACAGTGAGCAGAGCGGTCACGGTGGGCATTGTGGGATACTGGGGGAGGCCAGTTATAGCGACATAATGAACGGCAGCATCTACACTGACGCTTTCTCGCTTTAACTTTGCTGTAAAAAGCTCCATGTCTGTAGTCCACGTGGTTTTATGAGATGAGAGTGGCTGATCCCAGATGATCCCACTGGATACTCAGTTACATCCCCTTTGACATTGAACCATGCCTTGGTTTTTTATACTTTCGCTTCCTTTCTTACCGCCACACTCCTGTGTATCTCCAAAACCTGCATCTGCAAGTCCTGTACCAGGCTTCTGACAGGGCCACTGTAGCTAGATGGGCTGGAACTGGGTTAATTATATCCTTCCACGCTCTCACTGGTCTTCCCATCAAGGCATCATTGGGGGGAAAAGCTTGTGGATTTGTATTCTGTACCTGTGATGCACATTAGTACCGGTAGTAACGCTTCATCCCAATTGCTGCCTGTTGAATCACCTCTTTTTTTACCTTGGATCTGATGGTCCTATTTATTCGCTCAACCTGTCCTGCTGCTGCTGGCTGACAGGGAATGGGAACCTTTTGATCTCCATCCAGACAGATGCACACTTCTTTGACCCCACAAATCCGCTCCCATTGTCTGAGTCAATAACTTAGGCTCCCCATCTGCAGAACACATTGCTAATCAATTATTTCACTCTTGTTAGAGCAGTCACATATTTAGTGTGGAAGGTCTCCTTCTCCAGGTGTGAGAAAGCATTTACATCAACTAGCACAGGGGGCCGGCTTTAAGCCGATTCGGCTGATTCCTCAGAATGGGGCCCCGCGCCTAAGAGGGCCCCGCAACGTCCGGGGCTGCTGGCGGAGCGAAAAAAAAAAAAAGCTGCATCCTGCTTCTCCTCCCTCCCTCCAGCACTTGCGCCGCCATACAGCTGATCAGCGCAAGCCTGGGAGGGAGGGGTGAGGAGGAGGAATGCGACGTGCTGGGGAAGAGGCGGAGCCAGGGCGGGGATTTGGGGAGGGATCCAATGGGGCAGGGAGGGGGCGGGGCTGGGGGCAGGGCCACGGCGGGGATTTGGGGAGGGATCCAATGGGGCAGGGAAGGGGCAGAGTCGGGGCAGAGTTGGGGCTGAGGGGGGCACGGGACAATTCGCATCCCGGCGTGGGGCCCCGCACATGCTAAAGCCGGCCCTTTTGTTACCCGATAAGGACACCTCCCGAGTATAGTCTATTAGAATTCATTTCCATGGACCTCTCAGTGCCTGTCTCAGAACAGCGTTTTTTGTTAGCTGGATTGTGTCTGGCACAGATTAGGGAAGTATCAAGGTGTTCCTTCAAGTTTCTTTCCCATTGGGGCCACTACCATATTTTTGCTAATCTGTCTTTGGCCTCTGTGTCTTTGGAGTGATCATCCACAGTGGACCCACGCACCCATAAGAGCCAATCTTTTTGCATATTTTGTGGTGCCACCCATACTAACCTTTCTTTAAATTAAACATGGGAGTTCTT